CAATTAATGTAAATAATCTAAGTAATCATAATACCTCACCTCAGAGATATATATATATATATATATATATATATATATATATATATATATATATATATGTATTGTGGGAGAATATGATATAAAAATGTGTGAACCGTTTCATCCTTTAAGACTTCATCGGAGTGAAGTAATAGTCTTGTTCATGGAATTACATATGTGTATGAAGGAGAGGGGGATATAAAAACGCAATCTTTGGTTTTTATTATCTACCTTCTCTTTCCTAGAGATAAACAATTTCATCAACGAAAACATTACTTCAGTCCAATAAAGGCCTAAAATAAGCGTCAAACAATTCTCCCAACTATTTTTTTCATTCATTTGCCTAATATTTATTACATTATAAACAAAGAGCAAAAATGCCTGTCATATTTTACGTTTGTGGGTCTGTTTTCTCGTTTTCATTAATTTGATTCTTTGTTTGTATTCCTCATATACATTTATTTGCTTTCTGTTCTTTTCTTTGTTTTTTCATCTTTTCTAAATCACGTGACCTTTCGTTTTCTAACCTCCTCTCTTTCTTCTTTTCTTTCGACGCAGAATCTTCTCGTATTTACTTTCGTCGGCTCAGCTTTTGCTCATGTTTCCGAAAAGGGCAGACGTTAACAACAAATCACACTGAATGATTTTTCACTTTAATTCCAACAAACCTATCCGCCTTTAAAATGCTCTTCAAACAACAAAAACCGTATGAACTTTTCCTTTGAAGATTTCGCATACACGCGAACACAAATAAAGACGAAGCTTTCTCTTGTTTCATTTGAGGTCAATCAGACATTCCTTTGTACATATCATGACCTATAAATGCTTGTCGTCTGATTAATTCGTCTGCAAATATCGGGATATATAGCTGCGCATGCGCACAATTCACTCCTGCCGTTTGATCTGACAATTTCAATCAGCACGCGAAAATGGATTCTTGAAATTTATATACAATTGTTTTCAGAATTGCAAAGATGGTCTATAATTTTTAAATGTTTGCATCTTTATTTTACACGTTTATCTGGTCTGGAACTCCTGGTATATATTTCGAAATTCTCTACAAAAGTCAAAGAAACGTTTGTAATATTATCGGCCCTGACCTGGCATCTGGACTTCAGTCATTTTCCAACCGTGGCTTCCGTGTGTCTTTAATGTAAATATTTTCATGGCAATTGTTCTATTGAACAGACTTCCTTGCTACTTCGACCGCATCAATTTAAGCGTACCACTAGATTGGCTAGTCGGTCTCATCATTTTAGTATTGAAATAGCAAGATGTAATCGTGAGCTCTATTTTAATAGTTTCTTTTCTCTTTCATTTCTCGCCTGTGGAACTTTCTTCCGGTGTCTACTTTCCCTGCCGCCTATGATCTTCAGAAATGTAAACGCAACACCAATCTCCCTCATCAGATCTTCACAGCTAAGCCTCACCATACCAAGTCTACCGAATCGAATCCTCCCAATTCCCTTCGTATTCAAATAAGAAGGGAGTATTTTTCTTTTGAATGGATCCCTCTCCCCACACAGAAACCGCTACTCTGTGGAACGGATTCCCTAGAACAGTTATCGGCAACCTTTTGTTAACTATGTGCCTATTTAGGGTTTTAAAATCATTCAGAGTGCCAACAGCATACATATTTTTATACAAGTCAAGGTCAATATACCGGTTCTACAATATAAACTGCGTCTAGAGATTATATGCAAGTTATGAATTGGTATAAAGAGTTGCGTCTTTAATGTTAAAAGTCCTATTATGATGTTGTTTAGATTCTACTCAATATTATTAACTTAGATATATAGTGATAGAGAAAACTATTGTTTTTGGTTGGAAAAAATGTTACTAAGTTAACAAAACAGACTAATTTGACTGTCAGTAGTTTATTTGCAACTATTTATTTTGATACTTTTACATTATTATACCTTGTAAAACTAATGTAAAAAAAATAATATGAAAATATTTTAGAACAAATTCGTCAATTTCTTAAAGGAAAAACAAAAAAAATATTTTAAAAATAAAAGATATATTAACAAAAAATAATAAGAGCCTCCTAAAATTTATTGCACAAATGCTTCTTTCTTTTCAATAACTCTTAGCAGCCTATTGTCAACATCTGATGTTAGATTTGCAATTTTAGCGGCTGGTAAGTTGTTTGCAGCAACTTTAACTGCCCCCCAGAGGTCACACTTGCTGTTGAATTGCCTTCCATTAGAATAAATATTTCTCTTGAGGATGCTTCACAGGTTCTCAATGGGATTTGTCACAGCTATTTGAAGGCCAGTCCATAAGAGAATCTTCAACAAATCCCTTTTCTTTCAACCAGGATTTAGTAAACTTTGATGCATGACTTGGTGCTTTGTCTTGCATAAAGATCATAGATCTACGCTTGGCTAAAGACTGGTTATCAAGCCATTCAAAGAAATATTGCTCTAGAAAATCACAGTAACCTTTGGAATTCATTTTAACTCCGTCTTTCAGTTTAAATGGACCCACGAGCTCATTACCAATAATCCCAGCCCATATCATGATCCCACCGCCGCCTTGTTGGCGTTTAAAAATTTTTCTTGGGTCATGTTGCTTGCAAATCCATCCTCGAGCCCATCCATCGGGCCTATCGAGGGTGATCCTTGATTCGTCTGTAAAAAGCACTTTACTGAAATCAGTTTTCATGTATTTTTTGCCCACTGCAATCTTCTTTCCTTATGTTTTTTTGTTAAAATGGGTTTCTTTATTTGATTTTTTACATCAGCAAACTTCCTTAATGCTTTACACCTTGTTTCCCTTGGCACCATAGGAGCTCCAGCGGCCTCAAATATGAACGTAGTTGACGCATTTGGATTTCTTATTAATTCTCTTCGGATATGTGATAGATCTCGCTTTGTTAAATTCCTGAATTCAGCCTGAGACTTTTTTTCCTTAGTTGAATTCCCATTTGACATATTTTCTTGATTGCTCGATGATCCCTTTTCAAATCCTTAGAAATTTGAAGCGAAGACTTTCCTTTGCTAATTTCTTTGATTATATAGTTCTTTTCATTCATTGTTAGTTCTTTTTTACGAGCCAAAATACTAAATTTTAGTTCTTGTAAATAATCTCTTGACACTGTAAATTGCTATAATTACTGAAAAAAAAAATACTAAATATCAATCTGAAATTGAAAATTGGGATTTAATTGCTTTCATGTTTACTCGCTATCCATAATAGTACAAATTATTTCATTGGATAACACATATCTATGAATTTTACATAAAATATTTGACAATACCTCTTTTGCATATAATCTCTAGACACAGTTTATTTTATATAGTAATATATGGTATATATAATTTAGTATATATTAAAATTGAAACAGCTAAATATTTTCTTTGCGTTGTAGTAGGTATTAGTTCGGACTTCGTGATGTCATTGGCGGCTGCGTGCCATTGGAAATTGCTTGGCGTGGCGCGTGTGTCACGCGTGATGTAGGTTGCCGACTCCTGCCCTAGAGGATGCTTCCCTGATCACTACAATGTTAACGTCTGCATGTCCAGAGTCAACGATTATCTTTCCTACATTTCTTCATAAACTGTACTTGTTGAATCCCCCTCTTTCGTTTATATAACAACCTCGTGGAGTAATCCTCAACCTTGGGTGGTTCTTGGGCCTTGTATTGGGGGAACAATTAGTAAAAAAAAAAATGCTAGATGCTACTCGAACTTATGTTCACTATTTGGCTCGGTTTCAAATGACTTCCTTTTTAAGAATTTAGTATGAAAAGGGGATGGGATGGACTGGGGTGAATTATATTATCTTCTATAGCATCAAAAACAATCCTTATATTGCAAATCGGTATTTCCTCGGTTGAAAAACGCCCTGAAAATAAACGTCTTTTTTATTGCATAGAAGATATACAATAATTGTTCCTGTTTTTTTTTTTTTTTTTTTTAGATAGGTTCGCTTATCGTATGCTTCACACTCCAACCCGGTCTTTTGAACAGGTGTAGAGGTTTATCCCTTGTTCCCTATTTAGTATTGGGTTTCCGGTTCCTTCCAAAGTCTACTTCCACCCTATACTTCTAACGTCTCCGCCTGAACTCTGAAATGTTATTTATTAATTAAATCTTGACCTCTTCAAGTCTAGAGTTAGCTTTTATCTTTCCTGTATAGCCCAAGAATTTCACTTCTTGTCCGTTCTAACGCTCATATAATAACATACAGCAGCCCTCTACCTCAAGTGGCTCTTGGGCTTTTTATTGTGTGAACGTTAGTAAAAAAGAATTAAAAAAAATTTAAGCCAACATTTAAACAACTTCATTTAGAATTCTGGCGCAAATATAAGCGACTCGATCACTGGTCCAAATTCGCAGTTGTTTATAGAATCATTTCAATGAATCATCATTCACAATTGTTCAAATAGAACGTTGCTTAACTGATATGAATTGATGGGAACTGATGTTGAAATTATTAGCTGAATAAAGAAAAACAATCAACGAAAGTTGAATTGCACATGTGTCGGAAGAGGAGAGTAAGAAGCGAGCTCGGGACACATTCTGTTTTGCAGAAGGCAGCTTACATTTTGTGTAAAGAACAGTGTACAGGTTATTTTCATTTACTCCGCATTAAGTACTATTGTGTTTTGTGTTTTTCTGCCTTAAATCTTAGTCATAGTTTGAAATATCTATAAAAAGACAAATGTCATTGGTAAGCAAATTTTGAGAAAACACAGAGAAAAATAGCAAGTGAAGAACGTGAAAATAACTCCACAGTGAAAGGTTAACGTAACCGTTGCACTGTTCATCATTAGTTGTTGCCATAACAACAATGGCTGCCGGTTTCAGTTGAATAAACGGAAACGCAATTGATGAACACTTACGCGCATGAGTGAATGGAAAGCCATCGAGGAATCCAAAGGAAAGGGCGAATATATTTGTCTATTTATTATCGTTATCCTTGAAAATATGATTTTGTCAAGATAAAGTACGAAGCTAGACAGAAAGAATAAGATGTTATGGAGGAAGAAGGAAAGGAAAGTGGAAGAGAAGGAAAGGGGAAAGGAAAAGAGAAAAAGGAGAGGGAAAAGGGAGGAGGAAGAGGAAAGCTAGAATAAGAAGAAAGACGACGAGTAACAAGAAGAGGAATAGAGAAGAAAAGAACAAAAGAAGAAATCGAAAAAAAAAAAACAGGAAAAAAAGAGATAGAAAAAGAAAAAAAGAAACAATCAAATAAGGAAAAAAAAAATGAGCGCGTGCAGGAAGAAAGAGAAAAAAGACAAAGAAGGAATAAGAAGGTGGGGGAGGAGTAAAGATAAAGAAAACAACAAGAATTACAAGAAAAATGAGAAAGAGAAAATTAAGACGAGGAGGATGAACATAAAAAACAATGTAATGAAGAAGAAATAAAAAAGAGGTGGGGGCGAATAAAAAAGAGAGCAACAACATAAATGACAAAGAAAATGAATAAAGAAAAATGATGAAGAAAAAAAAAACGGCTGAAAGAAAGGGAATAACAACAAGGATAACCAATAATTTGAGAACGAAGAAGAGGCGAATGGAGAAAAGACACAGACAAGACGATCTTGTTATCTTTGTATCAAAAGCAGTTACGCTGTTTGTATAATAATTAGTAACTTAAAAAATTGGTGCAACTATTTCTATTTTCTATTTCCCGGTTAGGAAATTACAGATGACTACAGAATAGTCTTAATATTTAAACCTTCAGCAGCCTAAACGGTTCAGGCAAAGTCCGTGAAAAGCGAAACCCCGAAGTGTGGAATATGAAATCTTGTCAAAAACTACTACAACTTATTTCTGAATTCTTCGCATTGGTTACCCTCGAGTGTTGTAATAAGAAACAAGAATAATAAGATGGCGTAAACTTGTTATATAATAATAATAATAATAATAATAATAATAATAATAATAAAAAGAACATAATCTGCTTTCTTACTGATATGGCAGTTCCTGCAAATTGTAATGTATTTTTGAAGATCTTCAAAAAACGATCAAAATACAAGGATTTTGAAGAGGAAATCTAAAAAATGTGGCACGTAAAGACATCAATAATTCCATTTGTAGTTGGAGCCCTCAGACAGATTGGAAAAGATTCCGAGAGACATATTCCTAGTAGTCCTTGGCTTTAAAGAAACACAAAAATTGTACTCACAAGTACACAGCTCACACATTATGAAGAACTTTATCTATGTAAAATATGAGTGATCTTAGTTTTTGTTTTGTTTTTTTTTTTATAAAAATGATCAGCGAAAAATGTAATAAATGAAACTATTTCTGACCATAGGTCTCTGGTTGGAACCCGGAAGTTAATGTGAATACAATAGAAATCAAAGGAAATAATAATAATAATAATAATAATAATAATAATAATGATAATAATAATAATAAGCAAACGAAATGATTGACGTAACTTTTTCAATATTTTTCAACACTAAGAGAAAGGCGCAATTTAAGAAAATAATAAAAATCAACGTAACAATGTTCAATAATATTTCGACAGTATATCTGTCTTCAAGTTATGTTAAAAATTTCATGCAAATATAAAAATATAAAAAAAATTAAGTCTTTGAACAAATGTCGCTTGTCTTGAGAAAAACAGTTGTACTTGTAATCATCGCGACAAAAAAATGAAATGCAGACGACGTGATTATTATTATTAATTAATTACTTAATAATAATAATAATAATAATAATAATGTTCAAGGTTTTGCGAACACTAAATAACATCTCGTCAATTGTTGATAAAATCTTCCTTTTCGAATGAACTAAGAGGCGAGAGTCTGCGTGACTGTAATGAATACGAAAATGAACAAAATTAAAACAGATAACAAGAAGAACTTAATCAGTCAACAGGAAAAGAGAATATTGCCATTTTAAAAGAAAGCTGCCCCACACTCATTATGTGGGGATATCATGCAACGAAACCGAAACATTAGAGCACCTGGCAGCTGAAACGACCTCTTGTGGCGTGGGAACGACCCACCACGACGGTAAGAGGTTGTTTGGTACTATATACGCCAAACGAACTGAAAGGTGTCAACAGCGAAAAAAAAGCCCTTCTTTGTGTTATATATATATATATATATATATATATATATATATATATATATATATATATATATATATATATAAAGAGAGAGAGAGAGAGGAAAAAGGGAAATGGGTAATGTCTGGCCGAACTTCCATGATGGCTGGATAAGCTGCCCTGTATATATCACGTGATCAGTGTGAGATTTATTCGCAAGAATCACGTGATTCGTCATTGTGGTAATCACTACACTTCCTCCTGCGGATGTAATATTTTAACCATCCTTATATTCAACGAATTTTGTTTTGTTTCATTTCTGTAAAAAGAAATTTTATTTCATCATTTGTCTCTCAATTAATCTCGTACGCCATCCTTTCCCATCCCTATCTTCTCATATATATATATATATATATATATATATATATATATATATATATATATATATATATATATATATATATATATATAAAAGGACATTTCATTAAGACGGATCAAAGTCAACGGTAAATAAATCAGTGTTATTGGTGAAAATTATTTATTTCTCTATTAGATCATGTTATTTAAGTCATGGCAATTATGGGTGAAAAATAATATCGCCCAAAATTCCACCGAATCTGATAGAAAAAGAAAATTAAAATGAATTCATATATAAAATCGGTCCAAGTTATTGGAACACTCTTTATATATATATATATATATATATATATATATATATATATATATATATATATATATTTGTATATTTAGGCAGCAATCTTTCCTTTATGCATGTTTCATTAAAAACGACAGACAAGGTACTACGGTTGAGCTTTTTATTTAATTTTTCTTGTGTTCTGACAAGAGCTTTCTTTTCTGGACAAAGGTGTAAGAACTGTCCGAATGTTCTGTATTTCCGAACGCTTTCGGCTATACCTTTAGCCATTATCAAGGATGATTCAATTATCAGCTTAGTAGAGTGTGTGTGTTCTGTGTATGTTCAGTGTGTGGTAGTGATGTTTTTTAGTTTCCGAATACGGTTAGCACATTGTGGCTTTGTTCATAGTTAATATTGTTAAGAGTTGGCGTTTTCTTTTTTATTATTAGAGCTTCCATTATTTTTAGTCTTTTTTTGCAAGTGGATGCAGTTAATATATTTGTGTTTTCTACTAGTATGTTCCTAATAGTGTCGGGTAAATCTGAGTGTGTGTTTAAATTTGTTCTGATGGAACTGTGATCAGATAGGTGTAACGTAAGACGTCTGGATAAACATGTGGTTGTGTAGCCAATGTAATTATTTATGAGTCCGGTTTGGTGAGGAACGCAGTTCCTTAAAGGGCATTTGAACTCATAGATAATGTTCGTTCTTTGTAATTTTGACTTAGTTGGTGTGTTGTTATTTTTGAGGATAAGGTTGGCCGTCTTAAATTTTTTATAATAGATAATAAGTTTGATTTTTTTTATTCGGATCAATAGGAGTAGTATATTCCTTTATAATATGCCTTAGAGAAGATTCATCTTGTTTACTAATTAATATGCATTTGGTTTTTGTAATAAATGTGTATGTGATTTTTAGCTGTGTGTTCGCTATCGTTATTACTTGCTTTGGGGAGGAATAGTCTAATTTGTTGGTCTATAAGGTAGTTAGGGAAACCGTTGTTAATTAATGTTTGTTTAACGTTGTTAAGTTCTTTGAGAAAGAGTAGTCGAGAGGATGAGTTCTGGTGGGCTCTATTTAGAAATAACACTTTCATTACATCATTATACAAAAAACCCACCAGCAAAAACTCGTGCCACCTTAATTTCAAAAAGCCCACTTAGGTACAAAATAGCTGTAATAAAAAACTTTCTAAACAATATTAACAATATTAACTATGAACAAAGCCACAATGTGCTAACCGTATTCGGAAACTAAAAACATCACTACCACACACTGAACATACACAGAACACACACACTCTACTAAGCTGATAATCGAATCATCCTTGATAATGGCTAAAGGTATAGCCGAAAGCGTTCGGAAATACAGAACATTCGGACAGTTCTTACACACCCTTTGTCCAGAAAAAGAAAGCTCTTGTCAGAACACAAGAAACATTAAATAAAAGCTCAACCGTAGTACCTTGTCTGTCGTTTTAATGAAACATATATATATATATATATATATATATATATATATATATCTTATAAAAAAAAAAACATAGCCTGATGACGACATATGACGACATTGTGCTAATGTCGAAAGTACTCGGAATAAAATGAATATCCATCAACATGGTAATTTTTTCTTCTTCCTTTAATAAGGATACTAAGAAACTTGTCCATAATGACGAAAGGCTCCTATTAAAATAAGTAGATAAAAACCTGTCAAAATTATTTAATGACATGTCTTAATATATATATATATATCAATCTTTTCCTTATCTATCTAAATCTTCTTATTGTCTTGTCTAGCAAACGTGTATTTGGGTATGTGTCTGTGTCTGTCTGTGTGTGTGTGTGTTCAAAACGAGGGCATTTTTAAAATTAGAAAAATTATACTTATTTAAACGAATTTATTTGACTGTTTCACATAAATTTTAATTTTTTCTTTTTTTCTCTCTCAACTCCTTAACCTCTCTCTCTTTATATATATATATATATATATATATATATATATATGTGTGTGTGTGTGTGTGTGTGTGTGTGTGTGTGTGTCTATGTGCATGCGCGCGTGTATGCATAATGTTGCTTTCACGTCTATCTATCTAATCCTCTTTAGTTCTCTACCTCCCCCCTCCTTGACCTATGCTTTCTATATATCACTAAACTTCTCACTTCCTTACGTTCTTCCTTATCTTCTCTTTCTTTACTTCTCTCTCTCTCTCTCTCTCTCTATCCTTTGACCGGTCTTTTCCTCTCACACGTTCCTTTGTCTATCAAGTTATTGATGTATTTTCTTTTCCCTATCGTTCTCGTTTTGAGAAATTAAATAAGGAACCCCAATCAAGGAAGGAAAAAAAAGCATGTTTTCAAATTTATTAAATGAACCATTAAGAATTATTATATATAAATAATTTCAGCATCTCTAGGCTGGCATTTCCGACTGGATATTTCACCTATCGTTGTGTTTCGATTCACATTTGCGTCGGTGGAAATAGAAACTGGGAAATGATCGATGCACGTAGACACAAGTGTACGAAAGATCAAATAGCGCCAAGGCGGGAAAGGAAAACATTATGCTATTGGCAATAAATTGGGTTATTTTATTTACGGATTCACCAGGCACGGTCTGTGGTAGGTAATTCGCATTTTGGACATCTTCGCTGCTACTTCTCTCTTGTTCACGACAGACAAACGGAGAAGACCTTCCTGTCGGCCATAGAGAACTCCAACTCCCTCTCTGCCATTCTCAAACTGCGGCTATCTGTACGTCTTGACCGCAACTGTCACTGTCGCTCGTCACGCTCTGACAGTTAGATCCTCTCTCTAATTTGACTCGGCGTCTCTATATTTCAACGGACAGCCCAGGACTGGACGTTGTAAATGCAGCCTGACTATATAAACCCATGGAACACCCTACCTTGCAGCTGAGTGACAATTTAATCCCCCCATTTCTTTTTAATTCAGTTACTTCACTTCATTTCTCTCTCTTTATGTTGAGAACGGATTTCCGTTTTAAAGTTCTGATTTTACTGTCGGTGGTCGTAACTCCAGACACAGAATCATTTGCGGCCCATTTGACTTCCTGTGCGTCCTAAGGGGATCCATTGTGTCACCCGTTATGAAAGGCAATTTGATCATCATTATTCTCTAGAGTGATAATTATTACATCTGCCCCCACCCAAAGAAGGGACATTTAACAACCAACTGAATAGAATCCCCTCTAAATCGCTCATTTGAATATGCGCCATCTATAGTAGCCATTTGAACAGCAGCTCCCTTTGATTCGCCATTTGAGAATCATCATCATCATCAATGAGACTATGTGGACATCGTCTCATCGTGAATGGCAATTTCAATATCTTATCATTTATCATTCTTAAAGAAGAACCCTTTTGAGCAACATCCCTGTCAGAGTGGCCATACCCATCCCTGTTTGCCGTTTCAAAATCATAGTCATTAGTATGGCAATTTAAACATCACCATCTGAACATTCTCAGAGTGGCCATTTGAACACCCTCTCTTCTACAGTGGCCAGTACACCTTTGTGCAAATTAATTGAAGCAAAACGAATAATTTCGTCATTATTTACTTTTTTCGTATTTACCAATGTGTTGAGATGTTGTGAGTTTCCCGCGTGTCGGTGTATGAATCAAGACAAACACAGTTGTAGAGGAAAATACTGGTATATTCATAAAAGCAATTAACAATAGAGTGATTAGTAGAACGAAGGTTGGTTAGTACGAAACAATATCCAAAGTCTATAGTCCAACGGTATGTAACGGGTAAGCTTATCTGGACTGCTGTCGCTGACGCTTTCCCTCGCTCTACCGTCCTCTCTCGAGAGCTGACTTATATAAGAGGGACCAGTCCATTTGTAGTTAGAAGGTGGGTGCGCCCCAACACAATGAAACATGACAAAGTGCACAGGTGTTAGTGCTTCGTATGTCTATTCCACGAAATCGTTCCTTGTAGATCGACCACAAATTCTCGATTGGGTTTAAATCAGGAGAGTTTCCGGGCCAGTCGATAGTACTTTGATTTGCTCACTGTTAAGGGTTACCATTGTGTTCCAGCAGCGTCACAATTTTCGTACGCTTCCTTGGAGTAACGTCCATCGCAGACAATAGCCGTAGGACAACTAATCGACAGCCGAGACAATAGTGTCTGGGCGTGATAAAAATCTGATGCAATCACAAATGACGCACCATTTTTCAAAGCCAAGCGAATTTCAACATACACCCCGAAATTAGATTCATATTATTTCACACGACTGCAAATGACCTAATCTGAGGAAAAGATAGAAATCGATTGTACTCTGCCACACAAGTGGGCCTAAAACTGAGCGTATGGTGAAAGGAAGGAAACTAAAGCGGTTGTTTCAATTAATTTGCACAAGGGTGTATAGCTTCTCCTGAAACACAGAAGAATCTCCTGCAGACCCAATTATCGTTAGGAATTATTATAACTAATACCTTATCTTTTGCAGAGTGGCCATTTGAACACCATCCTTTCTAAAATGGCTATTAGAATATCGTTCCCATATAACGGCTATATGAACATCATCAACTCTAAAGTGGACCTTTAAACATCATATCCATTAGGACGGCTATTTAAAAATCATTCTCACAAAAGAGGTCATTTGATTATCCCCCTCCTCTCTAGTTTGAACATACCTCCCCTTGAATGACTGTTTGAATATCCATACTTGAGTGGCTATTTGAAAATCACATCGTTTAGAATAGCCTGTCGTCTATGATGGCGGTTTTAAACATAATCCTCACAGGAGTGGCCGTTTGGTCATCATACTCTTTGTAGCCATTTTGTACATCATCATGTCTAGTGTCTCGATTCGAACATACTTTCCTGCAGACTGGCTATTTCAAGAGTCGCTAGAGTGACCAACTGAACCATACCCATTCCTTTTGTGGCCATTTCCCCACTCTCAAATTTTCGAAAGCAAAATTCAATCCTAAAAAATATAAGAAATATTTTATTTTAACGATAAAGAAGATACTGTCCACTCAGCTGAAGGCATAAATGCTTTAATACATTATAGTAATAAAGATTGCACACACACAACCCGTAACCCATTTTATGGTCTTTGGGGATCTATCTGTATTGTACCGTCAGCAGCATCAGTGGGCGTGTCTAGAGAAGAGATGAGCAAACAGCGGACCGTTTGGCATTTTGAAAGAGAAAAATAAAATTTATTAAAATTTTGTTTATTTCCTTTCGTTCTCACTTGTTCACTCACACATTCTTTCGTACATAACCGCATGAACCGATTTTTACTGAGGAAGATCATATGTGTAAAAAAAGAAACAGGAAATTTTTGTTGGGTAGAAAGACAACTGACTTTCACTACACTAACTGTTGAACATGGACTCGTCCAACCACTCTGAGTAGAAAGTCTGCGCAAATGAACGGTTGTCGTAATGTGGGTGGCTTGGTCTAGTCGTATGCATTGCTGCACTGAACTACGGTAGTCTCTATTACTGTACTATTAATCCATGTCTTTCATGTTATTAAACAAAAAGGTTTGTGTCAAGATACAGCTTTCTACTTTCAGTCGAACCACTGAAAAGCAATTCCTGTGGTGCAATCTCTCACTCTCTCTCTCTCTCTCTCTCTCTCTCTCTCTCTGTATATCTCTCTCTGTCTCTCTCTATCTCTCAGCCCTACAAAATTCCTTTGCCCATGGCTCCGGTGATGTCTAGCGCTTCTGGTCTTGCCTAAATAACCTTCGAATAGCAGTTGGTCGCTGTAGAGCTAACCCTCAGAAATGTGAATATGCCACCGTTGTTGATCCCAACCTGCCAATGCGGGCATTTGCACACTATAAAGCATCTTCTAGTTGGTCCCAGTCTTGAAGATCAATGTTCACTTAATGACCTTGAAACATTAACACCCAAGTCAAGGCTCTGTGGGCAACATTAGATGGGTGTAGTGTAACGACTCAATAAGAAGATGTCATTAAATCTGTTCTTCACTCAACCTTTTCTTCCAGTGTTTCCTTACAGTATTATTAACTAGAACTACGTGCATTCTACGAATTTTATAACACCAGTCAAAATTTTTGTTCACTATGTCAATATTTCATTGCACAGGTCATCCTTAGCGTCATATTTTAAGAGGCTTCGAGTTGCTGGCAACGAGTTCTCCACAAGCAGAATGAGAGTAACGGATTGGAACGGGTTGTCATCCATGGATTAAAAATTTATTACTCATTCCTAATGAATGAAAGTCGCCTCGCCCTTAATATTATATCAATCTCTTTCAGAATTTAACTTACAACATTATATACTCTTCAGCTTGAACAGAAAAGATGCGTTTACTTTTTTTCTTTCTTGATCGAATAATGACTTGTGGTCGGAAATGAAACCTTTATGCCAATCATAAAGAATCAACTCAATGGCTTCATTATGGCGGACGACCCAAACACTTTCCAAATTCTAATTTGCACCAACAGAAGATTATGGTGACTGTCTGGTGGTCCACTATTGGCGTTAACTATTTCAGCTTTCTGTGACCTAACCAGAGCATCACTGCTGAAGTTTAATGTCAGCAATTGAATGAAATGCACATTCTTTTAAGCAAAATGTGACTGGCACTGGTTAACCGACGAGATCCAATTCTGCTTCATGGCAATTTTCGGTCACATGTTGTCAGGATGATACTGCTGAAGCTCACCGACTTGGGGTACGTGACCTCACTACCACTTTGTCAAGCATCTTGACAAATTTTCACGACAAAAGACATTCCATTACAAAGAAGATCCAGAAACTAGATTTAAAGTTTTCTTGTCGTAGAAACATTTAGGTTTTTATTGTATAAGCATAAAAACTTGTAACTGATGACAAATATATAGATAGTGAGGGTCCCTATTTTGACTGATTTAAACATTGTTTAAATAGATTCATCTATAGTAATAAAGCTCCGTGTACGTGTGTCTGTCCGTCTATTTTTTGATCTCGGTGAATCAGAAACAATCTGAAGTAACAGGTAACAACAACTGTAGTTACACGCGATTAAAAATTGAATAAATAATTCATTTAACGTTAAATTTAAATATCGAACGGAATGAAAGCTTTAAAAACAATTCTTTATTAAAGGTTTAACTTTAATTTCGTTTTTCGTCGCAACTGCAATTGAATATCGTCTAATTAATCCATAATTAAAACTCAAGAGGGGTACGGTACGTTGCTCATTTATTTTCTAGCATACTGTGACATATTCGAAATATGACATAGTTCAGCTTCCCTAATGTCTTTTAAGAGTGACTTTATGTGAAGGGATCATAAAGAATGGTGATTTTAAAGGAAAATAATAATTGCGCGCAAAAAACAAACAACGGTGATCGGTTGCGTATACGAAGAAAGATTATGCCGAATAAAAATAAAATAATTTTAATATATCTAAATTCTTATAACTTTTACGTACATAGAACGCTGAAGGTAAAAGGCCGAATGCCCAAAAGCCCCCCCCCCCCGCAGGAGCTAGCCTAGAGTCTGCCCGATGGGCAGCTTCTAGGCTAATTCAGGATTAAAACTGATTCTAAAATCGAACTTTATTTTCCGAATAGTCTATTTAATAAAATAAAAAATAAGCTTAAAAAATCAAAATGAAAGAAAAAATTGCCAGAAGAAAAAACTAAGACGGAAATTATAATCGTTGAGAGAGAAAAAAAATGTCAGTTTTTATCTTATGACTTTTTTAGTTGTTCAGTTCATATTAATACCGACCAATCCCTTTTACCGCCTATAATGGAATGCATTAAATAATTTAAACTCCATTTTGTCGCCTTTGGACTTTTGTATCTCAAGAACAATAGTTTGACATTGACAGATCACATCCGTTATTCTGATTACTATCAAAGTATTGTTTGAGAATAATGAGAAAATGTTGAGATTAGAAAATAGGAAAAGGTTCGGGATTGACACACAAAAAATACGATTTGTTGTGGCAATTAGATTGGGTTGGCCACAAAGTTCGTTCAGTTATTAAGTGGAAAATTGACTTTATAAACAGAACGCACATTTTCATTAAATCAGTATTTGAACAAAATGGCATCCATTTTTTAATGTTAACGATTCTTCTTTTATGTGCTATGTCAAATTCGGGAAGACGGGGATCATGGCTCTCCACAGCTTTCTGAGACATACATCCATTGTTTCTCGAAACCGACCGATGCCACATCATATATATATATATATATATATATATATATATATATATATATATATATATATATATATATATAGCGCTAGTCTATAGGGTTTGAAGAAAGATCATTATCTAACTACTAATGGAGACTCAATAATAGCGTTGGGTGAATTCT